TCGGCCGGGGCGTCTTCGCGACGGTCGCGCGCGCGCTGGACCTCGGCGCGCTCGGCCGCGGCGCGCCGCGGACCGTCGCGCTCAGGGCAGGACAAGAGAGCGAAATTCCCAACTTCAAAGGCTCCTTTCTCGGCCGTTTTCCACTCGTTTCGGCTGATTTTTGGACGAGCGATCATCTCTCGGAACGGTCTCGAAGCGTGAATGCTTTTTTCGTAACGCGCGCGCGCGGAACACTCACGTTGAAGCGACGTTGAATCTCTCTTCGTCCTGCCCAGGTCGCGCTCAAGGTCTGCCGCGCGGACGCGGCCGCGGCGGCCGCCGCGGCGCGCGAGGCCGCGGCGCTCGGCGCGCTCGGCCCGGGCGCGCCGTCCGTCGCGCGGCTTCTGGGCGCCTTCGAGGACCGGGGCCGGGCCGTGCTCGTCCTCGAGCCGCACCGCGAGGACCTCCGCGCGTGCTACAAACGGTGCCGGCGCCGGCGGGACGCGCCGAGCCTCGGCGGCGTGCCCGTGCCGCTCGCGCGCGCGGCGGCCGCGGGCCTCGGCGCGGCGCTCGCCCACGCGCACGGCGCCGGCGTCGCGCACCTCGACGTCAAGCCGGACAACGCGCTCGTCGACGCCGCGCGGGCGCGCGTCGTCCTCGGGGCAGGACAAGAGAGCGAAATTCCCAACTTCAAAGGCTCCTTTCTCGGCCGTGTTCCACTCGTTTCGGCTGATTTTTGGACGAGCGATCATCTCTCGGAACGGTCTCGAAGCGTGGATGCTTTTTCCGGAACGCGCGCGCGCGGAACACTCACGTTGAAGCGACGTTGAATCTCTCTTGTCCTGCCCAGGTCGTCCTCGCGGACTTTGGATCCGCGCGGACGTCCGGCGAGCCGCCGCTCGACTCCGCGTACGTCGCGTCGCGCTACTACCGCGCGCCGGAGACGTGCCTCGGCCTCGGCCACCCGGCCTTCCCCGCGGACGTCTGGGCCCTCGGCGTCACGCTCGCCGAGGCCGCGACGGGCAAGCTCCTCTTCACGGGCCGCGACAACCACGCGCTGCTCCTCGCGCACGCCGCGCGCCTCGGCCCGCCGCCGCCGCGGACGTTCGCGGCCGCGCGCTTCGCCGCGAAGCACCTCCTCCCGGGCGGCGCGCTCCGCGCGCGGCCCGCGGCGGAGGGCGCCGCAGCCGCGGCCGACGACGCGGCCGCGCCGCGGCCGCTCGCCGCGGTCCTCGCCGGCTCCGGCGCGACGACGCGCGCCGCGGGCGAGCTCCTCGACCTCGTCGAGGCCGCGCTGCGCTGGGACCCCGCGCGGCGCCTCGACGCGGCCGCCGCCGCGGCGTCGCGCTTCGCGCGAGGGGCCTAACGGGGCGTCCGGCGGCGACGGCGGGGGCCCGCGGCCTGCGACGCCGCGAGAGCAGCGACGGCGGCCCCCTCGCCGCACGCGACGCCTGACCGCAGGCGGCCCCTGGAGGGGGTCGTGTGATAACTCGAGTGGGTATTTCGTCCCCATGTTGAAGTTCAACAAAAATATGTTGAAGTTCAACAAAATAGTGTAAATCCACCACCGGCTCCGACGACTGGAAAACCATCATCGACGCCATCCGTTCCACCGACGGCGGGGGCGCGCGCGCGATATCGGTCGAGGAGCGCGGCGCGAGGCGTCGAACGAAGGGAGGCGCGTCGCTCGGCGGCGCCGCCGCGCCCGCGGTTCCGCGCTGCGGCGCGGCGACCGCGTTTCCGCGGATTCTTCCTCCAAAGGGTGGTGTTCGAAAACACCGGTGTAGGTTGTGTGCTGGTGGCAGCGTCGAGGTCAGATCCGCGCTCTAGGAGCTGGAGAACTTGGTGACGGCCTTGGTGCCCTCGGAGACGGCGTGCTTGGAGAGCTCGCCGGGGAGCATGAGGCGGACCGCGGTCTGGATCTCGCGGGACGAGAGCGTCGCTTTCTTGGAGAAGCGGCAGAGTTTGGACGCCTCGAGGGCGATACGCTCAAAGATGTCGTTAATGAACGAGTTCATGATCGACATGCCCTTCTTGGAGATGCCCGTGTCCGGGTGCACCTGCTTGAGCACGCGGTAGATGTACGTGGAGTACGACTCGACGCGCGTCTTCTTCTTCTTGCCGCCGGCGGCCTTCTTGGGCGCCTTGGCGGATTTCTTGGAGGGAGTCTTGGCCATGATGATTGAGTGTGTTTGGTTTTGCTGAGGACGTCCAACCGCGGCGCCGAGCTCTTGTTTTTCCGGGGCGCGAGCGAGCCAGCCCGCGTTTCTGATTGGTCGGACGCCGTAACCCGGCGCGCTTCCGCCCCGGAAGCCCAGTTCGTCTCGGCGTCGAGCGCTCTCCTCAGCACATCCCAAACACACACACTCACACATCACATCATGTCTGGCAAAGGAAAGGGCGGCCGCGGCAAGGGCAAGACCGGTGCCGGTGGCAAGGGCACCTCCAAGGCGGCCAAGGCCGGGCTCCAGTTCCCGGTCGCGCGCCTGAACCGCTTCCTCAAGAAGGGCAAGTACGCGACGCGCGTCGGCGTCGGCGCCGGCGTCTACATGGGCGCCGTCCTCGAGTACCTCTGCGCCGAGATCCTCGAGCTCGCGGGCAACGCCGCGCGCGACAACAAGAAGGCGCGCATCATCCCGCGCCACATCCAGCTCGCGGTCCGCAACGACGAGGAGCTCAACAAGCTCCTCGGCACGGTCACGATCGCGTCCGGCGGCGTGCTCCCGAACATCCACGCCGTGCTCCTCCCCAAGAAGAGCAAGTCCAAGGCCTCGGCCTAAACGCGCCCCGCGCGTACCCTCAGAACTCCCGACCAAGGGGAGGACCGCGGCCCCGACGTCGCTTCCGTTGGACGGAGGCGACCGACCCGGCGCCGCACCACCACACCGGTGTTTTCGAACACCACCCTTTCTTCGAAGACCCTCGATCATGTGTGTTGTGCTTTCCCGCCGGTTTCCACCGCGCCGTTCCCGCTTCGCGCCGTCGGAGACGGCGTCTCGCCTCCGCCACGGACGGCCTCGCGGACCGCGCGGCGCCCGCCTCGCTCGCGCGCTCCCGTCGCGGCGCGCCGTCTCGAGCGCCCGCCGCGTAGGCCCCGCGTAAAAATAAGAATCGACATAGTCCGCGCGCGCGCGCGCCGGGCTAGCGGTCCCTTTTTAGCCTGAGGTGACGCGCGCGCCCGAGCACGTGAGGAGCTCGACGTTCGAGCAGGCGAGGCACTCGAGGTTCGACTCCGCCTCGGTGGCGCAGAAGAGCACGCCGGCGAGCGGCGGCGCCGGGGGAGCCTCGCGGCGGGACCGCTCGATGGACTCGGGCCGCGACGCGCCGCGGGCGCCGTCGACGTCCGCGTGCGCCTTGGACAGCTTCCGCCGGAGCGCCGGCGGGTCGATGTCCGCGTGCGCCTTGGAGGTCCTGTCGTCGATGACGCCGAGCGTCACGACCGCGCCCGGGGCCTTTGCCGCGACCGCGCCCTTCTCCCAGTAGGGCGCGCGCGCCCGCCGCCGCCCCCGGGCGCGCCAGCACAGGGCGAAGCACAGGAGCGCGCCGGCGAGGGCGACCAGCGCGACGGCGGCGACGACGAGCGGCGCCGCGCCGCGCGCGCCGGACCCGCCGGACCCGCCGGACCCGCCGGACCCGCCGCCGCCGCCGGCGCGCGAGGGCGCGGCGGTCGGCGCGGTCGAGAAGGCCGACGCCGCGCCGCCGTGGGAGACGACCGACGCCGCGACGGCGATGCCCGTCGTCGCCGCGGCCGCGAACGCGTCGGCCGCGCCCGCGGTCGCGGCCGCGGCCCGGAGCGCCGCGTCGAAGTCGTCGTAGGTCAGGGCCTCGACGGCCGCGCGGTCGCCGTCCGCGGCCGCGTAGGTCTCGGCCTCGACGGTGAACGTCGCTACGACGCCGCCGCCGTCGTCGAGGCGCCGGCCGCCGAGGCGCCGGCGCCGCGCGGCCGCGAAGGTCACGTTGTCCGCGGCGACGCCCGCGCTCGCCGCGAGCGCGTCGAGGAAGACGCCGGCATACGCTCGCGCCGTCGCCACGCCGACGCCGGCGACGTCGACCGTCGCGACGACGACGTAGGCCGGCCCGGGCGTCGGCGGCGGCGTCGGCGCGGCGGAGGGGAGCGCGCAGAGCGCCCGCGACGCGCCGCCGAAGAGGAAGCTGCGGCCGCCGTCGAAGCCCGCCGTCGCGGCGAGGTAGCAGTCGACGCAGGGGATCGCGTAGTGGACCTCGAAGGACGCCGTCGGCGCGCCGAACGCGAGGCTCACCGCGCGCGCCGCGGGGTCGATCGGGAAGTAGGCGTCGAGCGCGCCGCCCGACGCCGCGCACTGGTCGCAGTCGGCGCAGGACACGTTCCCGAGCGCGTGGGGGTCGCTCGGGTTGTCGCACGCGAAGCCCGCGGCCGTCGCGGCGAAGGTCAGCGACGCGCCGGGCGACCTGGGCGGGACGAGGGAGATGCGACGTCGCTTCGACCGCGCGCCGCGCGCGCGCGTTCTGGAACACGCATCCATGCGTCGAGACCGCGCCGAGAGATGATCGCTCGTCCAAACATCGGCCGAAACGAGCGGACAATAACCGAGAGAGGAGCCTGTGAACTTGGGCATCGCGCGCGCTTTTCCCGCGCCGCGGCCGACCCGTCGCAGGCTTCGCCGCCGCGGGCCACCGCGAGCTCGCTGGGTTCGCCGAGGACGTAGCCGTCGACGGCGTCCGCGTCGACGCAGAGGCGCTCCGAGTGCCTCGTCGCCTTCTTCTGCCGGTCGACGTCGAAGAACGTCACGTAGAACTTCTCGAGGGCGACGGGCGCGGACGTCGCGGCGTCGACGAAGCTGAAGACGAGGGACGCCGTCGAGTTGTCGCGCACGTTCACCTGGCCGAAGGCGCCGGCGCGCCCCTGGTAGTCGGCGAAGTCGTCGGCGACGGCGTAGGTCGACCCGGGCGCGACGGAGAGCACGAGGTCCACGGCGCGGCCGTCCTTGCGCGTCACGGACCCGTAGCGGAGCGTCTCCGACGTGCCGTTGCCCGGCCCGCGGCCGCCGAGGTTGTTCGCGAGGACGTCGCCGCCGTCGAGGTCGAGGTCGTAGAGCGGCTCGCCGCACGACGCCGCCCAGTCGGGGCTCGGCGCGGCCGTCGGCGCGGCCGCGGCCGCCGCGAGCGAGAGGCAGAGCCCCGCCTCCGCGGTGGCCCCGTCGTCACCGCCGCCGTCCCCGTCGTCGTCGCCGGGGTCGTCCGGCACGGCCGTGAGGTTCTCGAGGTACGCGAGCGCGTAGCTCGCGTACGCGGCCTCGGCCGCGGCGTCGCCGGACGACGCGGCGTCGTCGTCGCCGCCCGCGGCCTCGAGGGCCACGTCGTCGGCGTCGATGTCGAGCGCGACGACGGTCGTCACGCTCTCGTCGTAGGCGCAGCTCGCGAGGCGCCGCCGGCCGCCGAGGCGCCGGCCGTCGACGGCCGAGGGCGCGGCCGTCGTCGCGTTCGCGCCTGGGCAGCAAAAGGGTGATTCAACGTCGCTTCAACGTGAGTGTTCCGCGCGCGCGCGTTCTGGAAAAAGCATCCACGCTTCGCGACCGTTCCGAGGGATGATCGCTCGTCCAAAAGTCAGCCGAAACGAGTGGAAATCGGCCGAGATATGAGCCTTTGAAGTTGGGAATTTCGCTCTCTTTTGCTGCCCTGGTTCGCGCCCGTGGCGTTGAGGCCCGTGGCGTTGAGGCCCGTGGCGTTGGCCGACACGTTGGCGAAGCCGGCGCAGAGCGCGTCGCCGAATTCCGCGCCGGCGGTGCCGCCGAGGACCGCGTCGAGCGCGGCGCCGTCGACGGTCTGGCCGTTCGCGAAGGTGACCGCGTCCGAGCTCAGGTACGCGTCGCAGTTGGCGGACGTGAACATCCACTTCGGCATGAGGAACTCGATGACGTAGGACCGCGCCGCCGTCGGCGCGGCCGACGGCGCCCGCGAGGGCGCGGGAAACGAGGGCGCTGGCGCCGGCGCGGAGGCGGGCGCGGCCGCGGGCGCCGGCGCGGAGGCGGGCGCGGCCGCGGGCGCCGGCGCGGACGCGACCAGCGCGGCCGCGGGCGCGGCCGTCAGCCCGGGCGCCGGCGCGGCCGTGGGCGCGGGCGCCGACGCGACCGACCCCGGCGCGGGCGCGGGCGTCGGCCCCGGCGCGGGCGCGAGCGCGGGCGCGGGCGTCGGCCCCGGCGCGGGCGCGAGCGCGGGCGCCGACGCGACCGACCCCGGCGCGGGCGCGGGCGTCGGCCCCGGCGCGGGCGCGACCGGCGCGGCCGTCGGCTCGGGCGCGGACGCGGCCGTCGGGAGCGACGTCGCGTTTCCCGCGTCCGCCGCGTCGGTCGGGCAATTGAGGCCGTCGTTGTCGGGCGTCTCCTGCCCGTCCGACGATTGCAGGACGACGACGGCGCTCGCGGCGTCGCACGCGACGTGCGCCGAGTAGTCGGACCCCGAGTTCCAGCAGTCGTCGTCGTCGATGTTCCGGATGGGCGTAATGACCGTGAAGATCCCCTCGGCGCCGTTGCCGGCGAAGAAGACGCCGTCGAAGTCGCCGGCGTCCAGGTACCACGCGGCGCCGAAGAGCCTTTCGATGGGATCGAGGCCGACGCCCGTGCCCTGGACGATCGCGTACGCCTCCGGCGCGCCGTCGTCGCCGAGCCGCGCGATGAAGAGCTTGAAGTCGTACATCATGCCGATGATCTGCGCGGGGGAGTGTGACGCGGACGGCGCGCGCGTCCGAAGACGCGGCCTCGCGGACGTAGGTCGCGCCCGCGACGCCGTCAGCGATGATGTCGTCGGAGCCCGAATCCTCCGTCGCGGGCGCAAAGTCGACGACGGTCGAGGAGAAGAGGTCGCTGTTCACGGGCAGCGTGAGGTCGTGGAAGGTGGGATAGGAGGAGTCGAGGCCCGACGCGTACCAGAGGCCGTCGCCCTCCTTCTCGCCGAGCGCGTTGCTGTAGTAGAAGTAGTCGCCTGGGGAGCGCGCGACTTTAGATGTCGGCCACCTTCTGCTCGTTTCCGCTCGTTTTAGGACACGGGTTCATCTCCCAGCGTGTGCCCACACGAGAGCCTCTCGACGATCGACACCGCGAGCCGCTCGAGTCGAAGTGGCATCGACGCGCGCCCGTCGGACGCCGGTCGCCGCCGACGATGGCCGCGGCGTTCGCGAGGTCGACGCCCATGGTCCCATCGTAGCAGTAGAGGCTGTACCTATCGAAGCGGCAGAGCTGGCTGTCGAACACCGCGTAGGGGTAGAAGCTTCCGTCGGCGTCCGTGTACATGGCGGCGGCGTTGATGTCGTTCGCGTCCGTGTAGTCGAGGTCGAAGATGTCGACGTAGACGCCGTTGTCCAATTTCTTCAGGGAGTAGTAGTCGTCGTCCGTCGCCTTGAGCAGCTGGAAGGGCTGCGTGCCCGCCCTGGTGCAGTTGAAGGCTTCGATGGCCGAGTCCGCCGCGTCGGTCGGGCAGTTGAGGCCGTCGTTGTCGGGCGTGTCCGTCGACGTCGAGTACCGGACGACGACGGCGCTCGCGGCGTCGCACGCGACGTGCGCCGAGTAGTCGGACCCCGAGTTCCAGCAGTCGTCGTCGTCGATGTTCCGGATGGGCGTAATGACCGTGAAGATCCCCTCGGCGCCGTTGCCGGCGAAGAAGACGCCGTCGAAGTCGTCGGTGTCCAGGTACCACGCGGCGCCGAAGAGCCTTTCGATGGGATCGAGGCCGACGCCCGCGCCCTGGACGATCGCGTACGCCTCCGGCGCGCCGTCGTCGCCGAGCCGCGCGATGAAGAGCCTGAAGTCGTACATCATGCCGATGATCTGCGCGGGGGAGTGTGACGCGGAGCGCGCGCGCCCGAAGACGCGGCCTCGCGGACGTAGGTCGCGCCCGCGACGCCGTCAGCGATGATGTCGTCGGAGCCCGAATCCTCCGTCGCGGGCGCAAAGTCGACGACGGTCGAGGAGAAGAGGTCGCTGTTCACGGGCAGCGTGAGGTCGTGGAAGGTGGGATGGGAGGCGTCGAGGTCCGACGCGTACCAGAGGCCGTCGCCCTCCTTCTCGCCGAGCGCGTTGCTGTAGTAGAAGTGGTCGCCTGGGGAGCGCGACTTTCGCGTTTTGGACTCGGGTTCGTCTCTCGAAGTGGCGTCGATGCGCGGCCGTCGGACGCCGGTCGCCGCCGACGATGGCCGCGGCGTTCGCGAGGTCGACGCCCATGGTCCCATCGTAGCAGTGGACGCTGTACCTATCGAAGCGGCAGAGCTGGCTGTCGAACACCGCGTAGGGGTAGAAGCTTCCGTCGGCGTCCGTGTACATGGCGGCGGCGTTGATGTCGTTCGCGTCCGTGTAGTCGAGGTCGAAGATGTCGACGTAGACGCCATCATCCAGGCGCATCAGGGAGTAGTAGTCGTCGCCCGTCGCCTTGAGCAGCTGGAAGGGCTGCGTGCCCGCCCTGGTGCAGTTGAAGGCTTCGACGACGGCGGCTGCGAGTTTTGGCGCGAGCGCCAGTGCGAGCAGCGAGGGCGCCCACGGGACGCGCCGCATGGCGCGACGCCCCGGTCGGGTCGCCCGCGCTTGGCTGCGCCACCGAACTCGCCCGCGCGGGATCGATCGGCCACGGGGGGAAACTCGAGGGGTTACACTTCCATATCTTCCACACCGGCCTTTGATTGGAAAGTACAATGATTTTATGCAAAGCCAAGTTGTCGACGTCGGCGCGGAGGACGGCGCCGGCGACGGCAGGGCGGTCGTCGGCTCCGGCGTGGGGGCGGGTGTCGTCGGCTCCGGCGTGGGGGCGGGTATCGTCGGCAGGGGCGTCGGATGCGGCGTCGGCAGGGGCGTCGGATACGGCGTCGGCAGGGGCGTCGGATACGGCGTCGGATACGGCGTCGGCAGGGGCGTCGGAGGCGTCGGGCAGGGGCCGCTCTGGCAGATGAGGTACTTGTCGCCGTCGGTCGCCGTCAGCGAGTTCTGGTGCGAGTTGTAAGCCGTGCAGTAGTACCCGCTGTACGAGCTGTAGCAGCCGGCGTAGCAGCCCGTCGGGTAGAAGCTGTAGGACACGCTGCTCGGCGAGCCGGAGCCGGACGCGCCGATGGCGGCGTTCGCCTCGTCGATGGCGGCCTCGCAGTCGGACAGGGACGTGATCGTGCAGTAGCCAATGTCCTCGCACGTCTTGCTGCCGTCGGTGGTGGGGTTCACGACGCCGATGCCGCCGGACGATGCGGCCCCGGACGACTCGCAGAAGAGGTACTTGTCGCCGTCGGTCGAAGTGAGCGAGTTCTGGTCCGTGTTGTAGTCCGTGCAGAAGTACCCGGTATAGTCGCTGTAGCAGCCGGCGTAGCAGCCCGTCGGGTAGAAGCTGTAGGACACGCTGCTCGGCGAGCCGTAGCCGGACAAGCCCATGTCGGCGTTCGCATCGGCGATGGCGGCCTCGCAGTCAGACACGGACGTGATGTCGCTGTAGCCCTCGTTGGCGCAGTTGCTGTCGTCCGACGGCGTGATGACGACGATGGCGGCGTCGACGCCGACGAGGGCGAGGGCGAGCCACGGCGCAACGAGGCGCCGCATCCACGCTGACGGGCACAGCCTAAAACATGCAGCCCGGCTTAAAACATGCGTGCAAGCAAGGAAGCGATATTCCGTCCGTATCTTCAACACTAGCCTCAAGAACTTCAAGAACTGCCTCGACCGATCGAGTCTGCCGAGCCGATGAGCGCTCCGACGCGCGACGAGCTCCTGGGCCTGACCGTGCCCGCGCTCAAGGAGCGGTGCCGCCAATCCGGGCGCCCGTGCTCGGGCCGCAAGGGCGAGCTCGTCGACGCCCTGCTCCGCCCCGCGCCCGGCGCCGCGCCGCGGAAGCGGCCCGCGGCCGGCGCCGCGGCCGGCGCCGCGCCGCGGAAGCGGCCCGCGGCCGGCGCCGCGGCCGGCGCCGCCGCGCCGAAGAAGGCCGCGCCGGGCCCGGGCGGGCGCGACGAGGCGGCGCGGCATTTCGCGGCGCTGTCGCGGCGCGCGCCGAGCCGCAAGGAGATCGAGTCGACGGAGCCCGGCGGCGCGCCGACGGTGGTGGAGCGGACGCTGCCGTCGTTCTTCGACTACTACCCGCGCGCGCGGCGGGCCCACGACGCGCTCGCGGGCGACGGGCCCGCGCGCCTCGCGCTGCTCCGCGCGTGCGCGCGCGTCGTCGAGACCGGCGACGCGGCGGCCATGGGCGCGCTCGTCGCCGCCGCGCTGCCGCCGGACGCCGGCGACGCGGCCGCGCCCATCGACGTCGACGCCGGCGCCGGCGCGCCGCCGGCGGCCTTCCGGTGGCAGGTCGACGGCGGCGACGCGGGCTGGCTCGACTTCGACGCGGCCTCGAACGCCGCCGCCGAGGACGCGCGGCGCCGCGGCGCCGGCTCCGCGGCGTTCACGTCGCCCTACGGGTCCTACGACCTCAACCTCGAGTTCATGGTGCAGATCAACCGCGCGACGGGCACGGCGCGACCCGTGCGCTACGTCCCCTAGGCCCCTAAGCCCGAGGACCCGCCGGCGCGGAGCGCGGCCGCGGCCGCCGTCCGCTCGGCGGCGTCGGCCCGCGCGAGCTCCGCCGCGAGGAGCGCCCGGAGCTCCGCCGCGCGGGCCGCGGCCGCGGCGCCGCACGCCGCGAGCGCCGCCGGGGGCGCCGCGGCGCCGGAGAAGGACAGCGCCGCGCACTCGCCGTGCTCGTCGACGGCGAGCGCGAAGACGGCCGCCGCCGCGCGCTCCTCGGCCTTGGACGGGTCCACGAGGAGCGCGGGGCCGTCGCCGGCGCCGGCGCCGGCGCCGTCGCGCGGGGGCCCCGGGGGCCGCGGCAGCGCGGCGACGGCGACGGCGAGCGGCGCGCGGACCAGGGGCAGGGGCACGGGGTCCGCGTCGGCGACGACGGCCGCGCGGCCCGCGTCGTCGAGCGCGACGTGCGGGCGGCGGCAGTGCGCGAGCGCGGCGGCCGCGGCGAGCGCGGCGGCCTCGAGGGCGCCGCCGTCGTCGTGGACGACGTGGACGTCGCAGCGCACGTGCCAGCACGCGACGCCGACGGCGACGCAGAGCGCCTCGC